CGTGGTCCCGGGCCCCGGCGTCTGGGGGGGCTGTGTGGCCCCCCAGCCTGTGGTAGCCGTGGGGCTCCTCGTCCCGGGGCGCTTAGAGGATTTTGGTGGGGGAGCTGGGCAAAGGGCGTGCTGGGGGGTACGGGGACCTGTGCTGGCGCAGCGTCCCCCAGGCACAACCACCCTTCCCGGGGGGCAGGAGGGCCCCGCTAGCCACCCTCGGGCTCCTGGGCCTCTGTGCCCCGGTGGCAGTGGTGAAGGCGAGCGCTTCTGCCTGGGTTTTGAAATTCCCCCTTCCAGAAGCAGATCCACCAAGCGTTTGATTATCTGAATGAAAGTTGCACAATTTCACCCTTAGCTGGTTTGTTTGTGCAATGTTCCCCACGTGAAGCGGGGTTGGTGGGTTGCAATACTTTCTCCTAGATGTTGCTCTAGCATATTTTAAGAAATTTGTTAAATTAAACTTTGAAGAGATCTCCTTTGTCTGCTATTCCTTCCTGGTGTATCTGTAAGCCTAGAGACGCAGACATGGCAGAATCGAGGGGGTGAGAAAGGAAAGATGAGTGATGCATGGCGTTTCAGCGTGCAGTCTCTTCCCTCCTATTTCTAGTTGCTACAAATGAAAAAGAACAGTATCCTTTGCTAATATAGCTTAATCTTTTCCTAGGTCTGTTATTGTAACTAGCTGTTACTCAGTTAAAAAAAAAAAAAAAAGCGCTACACAGTTCTTCAGTTTTAACTGATGGGTAAAGCCTACTGCATGCCTGCTGGTCGCTAGCTGTGGTTTGCTTTCCAGCAGTCTAATTTATAGTGACCTGTCGCTGCGGTGGATTTCATTTAGAGGGAATGACAAGAATTTGTATTTTTATATGGGAAGAAATCTGTGGCTAATTAAAACCCACTTTTTTATAAGGAATTCAGCGCACAGAGCAATTAAATGAGTTGTAGTTCTTGCTTTAGTGGTGAGTCCCCTAAGAGTCCTAGCCCAAACTTGCTGGAGGCTTTTTATTTCTTTTTTTTCTTCTTCAGCCACATGAAAGCTCAGCGGTGTGTGCTTCCCCCTCTATACGTTGGTGCTTGTTGAGACTTTTAAGGGTGGGTTGAGTCAGCGCCTGGGGTCAGAGCTGCCCCTTTGCTGGATGCCAACAGGCAGGGCATGTCAGGAACTGCCCAGGTACCCAGGCACCTCTGTTACCAGCTCCGAATTCTGCTTCCTAATATATATCTTGTTCTTCCCAATGCCAGCAGCCCTGTTCTTGTTACCTGAGTAGCCGTCGGTGTGAATAAAGGTTGCCGTTTGATTTAGAAACAGGTCTGAGCAGCGGATCTCTGTGGCTCTGGGAGGTGAACCCAGAAACGTGCGTTACTGATGGCTTTCTCAGGGAGTGATATTAAATGTCCTTCCTTGCACCCGTGGGGGCTGTGTGACAGCCCCACTCTGAAGGTCCGCAAGGCTGGGCTGCGTTTGCAAAAATCCACCGCCTCAAAAAAAAAAACCACAAAAACACCAAAACCCAGCACCCTCCCCTGCAGTGTATGAACAGGGAAAACCGGGCTTTGCAGAGCTCGGTGGTGTTTGCAGCCTGCTTGCTTCTGCTTGACTGAAGGTCCACCTTAAATGTCCCTGTACGAGTATGGAATCTGGCTGTGCCCCGGTGTAGTCTTACACCAGCCCGCCCTGGTGTGCTCCTGCCTGGCTTCAACCATACAAAAATAGACGGGATCCACTACCTAAGATGTCATTGTAACGTTACTTATCTGAGGTGAAACTGAAGCCCTTATCTTTGACGCTGAACGGCAATAAAGTGCCTCGGTTGCCTTTTAAAGGTAATTTGTCGCGCACGTTTGTGGGGAGGGGAGGGAGATGCTTGGGTTTTGCTTTAGTTTTGCTGCCTCAGCCTTAAGTTGTGTCCACGGGTATTTTGCTTTGGTTCACAGCTTTCACTTGAGGGTTGGTTTTAGTATCTGCTTTGTCTGTAGCGTAATTCTACCAATATGAAGCTCTACTGTAAAAATAAAAAAGCCACGGGGATTTTATTTTCTTCCAATTAACTTCAAAGTTGTGATGTTTTGACATCATTTTGAAACTGTCAGGACATAATGTGTTTAGAAACAAGCTTTGAGCTGATGAAATGGCAGCATATGATACTCATTTTGTTAGAAATGAATGTGCTAGTAGTACTAATTTCTTCCATATTTAGATTTAAGGGATACTATCAATTAATGCCTGTGTCAACATTGACTTTTTTAAGATGAGCTTTAATGTGGGGTGGGTTTTTTTCCCCCACACAGTATTTTGTTAGTAGAAGTAGTTGTCAAACAGCACCAGAAGCTCTCAAAGTCCCAAATCCATGTTACCAGTTCCCTAGTTATGTTTCTTCCTAAGCTATGGAGGAAAACAATATGTGAGGAATAAAAACACAAGTAATGACAGACACAGTGTGGGTTTTTTGGCTGTTTTTATACTGTGGAGGGGAACACAGACAAAGAAAGAAGGCTTTCAAAATGGTAGACAATGCCTTTTGTTTTTATCGTCTTTAAATTAAAACTCTAATCCTCTTCCGCAGGCATCAGTTCTTTGGATTTGATCCTTGAATGCTAAACATCATGAGCAACTACAGTGTGTCTTTGGTCGGCCCGGCTCCTTGGGGTTTCAGACTTCAAGGGGGCAAGGATTTCAACGTGCCTCTGTCTATCTCTCGGGTAAGTGCATTTGCCTCTTTGCCTGCGTGTGGGTATCTGTTGTGCTGTGGCCGACCTGCAGCCTTCAGACTAAGTATGCAAACCCATTAATTACAGTTGCTGGGGCTCAACTTGCCCTGTGGCATGGAGGACTGTTGGGGGCGGGGGGAAGCTGAGAAAATAAATCTTCTTTATTGTCTGAAGGCTCCAACAAAATTGTCTTAGGAAGGATGTGTTCATTTGAAATGGTTGTTTTATCTGCATTTATTTATGCAACAAACCAAAGAAACCACCCTTGAATTCCCCTCCCTGCTCCCACCCAGAAAACAGAGATGCAGGGGTTGGAGGCTGGCAGGAAACAAGCAATTTTCTACGCGGGGCTGAGCCTGTGCAGTTCAGATGGGGGGGTGGGGGGGGTGGGTAGGGGGAAATCATTCATGTTACTCTTGTTTATTCAGCAGCTCTTAGCAGCTTGAGGATCTTCTGGTGTTTGTTCTTGCAAATCCCACTATTTACAATAAAAAGGTACTTAAATGACAGTAGTTGTAAATAGTGGTTCATCAATACGTGCTTGAGGGAACGTGCCAGTTTCTCACGAGTGTTTTATAGAGTATGTGCTCTGAACTGGTATTCAAAGGATTTGAGGAACTAAGTCAAAACAGATAGTGCCTGGGTACAAAGATCACATTTAACTAGTTTCCTGCTTTAAAACCACGTTTTCAGGGAAGGCTTGTCTTTCAATGTGGGCCGAGTTTCAAAGTCTTCCTCAGATGGCTGAAGCACTTCACATATAAAATATAGGGACAAACTTTGCAGCATTGAATTCATAGGATCACTGGAAATCTCTGGGTGAAGAAACTGGCTTTTGATGGCCCTGTACCCTGGCACCTTTAAATTTGATTCGCAGCGTGGAAGCATTTATGTACAAATGGCCCCTTCTCTGTCAACAGCTCTCCTCCCCCTCCGGCATATTCGTATAGTTTAGTGACAAAGATGAATTATTTTTTACACCTGTTGGGACTGCAGAATTGATACTGCCCTGGGAGATGGGGCAGGTTTCTATTTGGGTTTATGCATCATGGCAATATTTTTAGCTAATCTCAACTAGCAGTTCAAACTCTGCCAGTTCATTTAGAATTGGCTTATCCTATCCACCTGTGGATTATGCTGGTGAAGTTAAAATACAGTTTGGCTCTGCAAAGTTATTTTTATATGGCTAAAATGGACCGGAGAGCTGTAGAAATGCCTGTGTACAGATGAATACAGCTGATATCTGAGCCAAAAAGGGGTTAAGCAGCAGCTTATTCCCAAATTCTGGGGATTTTCAAGCTAAACTGTAATTCAGTTTCTTGTTCAGTAGCTGGTTACTCTGGCACTAATGAGAAATTTGAACTGGGGATGCAGATAGCGCTCTTCTGATTTGATGGTAGAAGTGCTCTCATGGCAAGGATTTGCAAAAGCGTAGGCTCTTGCCTGCACAGGGTACTTGTGCATGGTACTGATGAGTAATTAAACGCGGTAGGCAGTAAACCATAGTAAACAACTAGTTTTAGGAAAGGGTAGTACTTTTTTGTAGGGGCCTCTGCTGTCCTGGAGATCTAGAGTGCAGTCCCGCTGTAAGCAGGCTTCCCATCTAAAAGTTTCTAAAGAGGAAACATATGTTGAAATTAGCCTAGACTACTACTTTATTGCAGGAATCAAATACACTGTCGCACGGAGTAGCCTAGGGGAATTGGCCTAAGTAGCTACATATAAAAGCCTCAGTTATGGGATTCCCTAACGACAAATGTCAGCACCCGCATGAGCAGAACAAAATGAAAGATGGGGACCGGGGTGGTTTTAGGACTTTAATTTGTGCATGGGAGGCGGAAGCACGGTATCCAATTCACCTATTATACCTCAGCACTGCTCCTCAATTGAACTGTTTCTTCTTATTTGCAGTTAAGAGTAGGCAAATATTAGACTGCCTGGTGCTTTTTTTTCTTTTTCCTTTGGATCAAAAAAGTGCTTAGTTCTGGTATGCCAATCCAGCTTTGGCCTGGTAGCTGGAAGAATTCAGCGCCGTGTTCCTGGTATGCTAGAACAGCGTGTACCATTCACCCCCCCAGCCCTTCTTTTCCTGATGAAGCATAAATGCCTTCCTGTATCTGAAGACTGCTAATTAAATTATTTTAGCAAAACAGTAATGAGACAGCAGAATTATGTTCTTTGGCAAGGAGGACTTTTTTGGTTTTGTTTTTAATTTGTCCTCTAGATGCTGAGGATGAATCTGGCTGCACTGCTAAGGGCTAATTTCCTGCTTTACTTTAAACTCCTTGAAATTAAGTTCAAATAAAGTACAGTTTACGAAGCGCAGAAAATACACTGGTTTCTAAAGCTGTTTATCTGAAAAGCTAATCTCTTGTTACTAATGATTTGAACAAATTAAGATCTCTTGTGGTTCCTTGGAGCAAGTTTTTACTAAGTCATTCAGCTTTGTACAGATTGCAGTTTAAATGGGCTTATTCCTTGTTGCCTCTGTAAGGTAAAACGAGCCTCGTTTGTGTTCTTCAGCTGAAATTCTTAATGTCAACCAGTTACACCTTAGCTGACATTAATGCAGGGGTAGCAGTAACATTTGATTTTTTCATAAGCTAGTATATGCAACTAGTTGCAACAATGACTAGTTGCAACATCATAACCAATAGCAACAGTTATTGCAGGATTATGTCAGTCACTTAATACTTCTCTCTTAGTGCTTAAAGTTGCTACGTATACTTATACAGCTGTACACATTTCATGGTAAGTAATATATGTGATGTTGGGGATATAGCCTTATAGTTAGTGGCATAAATCAGTACAACAAAAATGCATGCAATACTTGTTACGTATACTTGTATCTGGCTGGACTTCAGCGGGGTAGCTTTTTGCAGTCCTCCTCCTTAACCTTGCAAAGGCACCTATCTGAGCCCTGCAGAATGCCATTACACAGGCCAGGAATTCAATGCCGGGAAGCCGATGTGGGGTGGGAGCAGTGATGGGAGTGTGGTGGGGGGGTATGGCCCTCATGAAAGAGGGGTCGGGGGAAGGAAGCTGCTCTGACAGTAAAACAATTTCATCTTTCCCCTTCGACCGGGAATAAAGGGTGGGCTGAGGTGGTGGATCTACAGCTTTTATTAACAGCCAAGTGTTAAAGTGGGTCAGGCCACCACATGTAACTGTACTGTAGGGCTTCCAGGTAGTTTATTCTGTAGCGGTACTTGTATAACAAGAGATTGCAAACCGTGACCAGTTAGCCTGCAGTGAAGAAGGTAGAAATTACTGGAGCCGAGGTGTGCAACCTTAGATTATTCTGAGTTGCTGTTCTTACTTTTTCCTCACAGCATTTTACATTAATTAAAGAAGCAACTGTTCTCCTTATTCCTTCAAGACCTATGTTGTGATGCAAAACTGAAAAAATGGAAAGCTAGAGCAGATAAGAACAAATTACTGAGATGTGAGGTTAATTATGTTCTGGTAGCTGTAAAGTAGCCATTGTAGGAAATGACTAAGATTCAGGCTATCTCCCTACGGAAGAAAAAGCTTGATGTCTATCCATCTATCTGTAATATATGTAGTCACGTGAAATGATGTTTGCCATAATGCGATTGTCTTCATATGAATTAATTGATTACTTCTGAATCAACACAGACCACTGAAAAGGCAGCTACTTAACAGGCATCTCCATCTGGTAGATTTGGGAGGCATTGTCCCAACACTTTGAGTGTAGGCTACACAGCAAGAGTTACATCATGGGTCCTCCTCGTTTCTCAATTATTTCCAAACAAAATTTATTTCCAAGTTGCAGGGTGTTCTGCTAAACACCAGCTAGGTCAAAAAAGTCTATGGGACCAAAATTATTGCAGCTGAATTACTTTGTTTTTAATCATGATTGCCAATAATAAGGGATCTGCTATCGCTGATATCCATGTAGATCTGTGTGGTCTTGGATAAATCCTACTGGAGCTAGGGATATGTCCAGTTTGGGAATAACATTGGTCTCTACTCAATAGATCTTTGCCTTCTAGATTTGTTTGCACGAGAATGTGTTTCTTCTGCTGAATTAGAATAAAGAAATGCAGTTTTGGAGATAAAGTAATCTAAACACACTGTTCGGTAGGATTCCTGGAGTGGCTCTTGGGCATGCTAAGTATTATATTTACAGAATTTGGGGTTAATGATATCTACAACATGGTCTATGTTATTTACATGCAACACAGTAGGTTTTAAAACAATACACATTTCTTTAGAGTTTGAATTAACATTATATTTGCTTTACTACTTTGGGAGTTGGTTAGTTCCCAATGCTTAATTAACATAACCAGAATAAACTCAGTAAGTGTGACTGTAGCATTAGAATTGTCAAAACTGCTGTCCTCTGCAGACTGAAATAAATAATGTTTGGTACTGATGATTTATTCATTATGTTGTGATGACCTGTGAGAGTTTTAGATATTTGTTGTAAATGTATGCTTGAAATGTTTGTAGCCTATCAAAATTTTGTGGTGCAGTCTATAAACAGTGCTTGTCTCTGTTTTATGGCACTATTTACCACTAGAAACAAGGAAATACTGAAGTGAAACTATAGTTTGAACAGTAATGTAGCCTGTGTGCAATATATACCCTCCCACCTAATGCAGATACATAGGATGTTTTCTTGTATTTAAAAGTTACTTTTATATTCAAGCCTGGTGGCAACTCTAGCCATCTTCCTTCAGAAGATGTTTTCCTATTTGTCTTTCTCCTCCTGTAATAATTAAGTGGAATACGGTCTTCTTTAAATGCTTGACCTGATTGACAGCTCTGTTTTTCTATGGCAACTTCTTTCAGTGTGGGTTCCCCCGCCCCAACTTCTTCCTGCTTCACTGGTCACTTAAAAAAACAAACAAACAAAAAAATGAACCCCCCCCCCCCCTTAGAAATAGCCCCTTCTTTTTGCAGTTTTTCAGTTTCATTATTTCATCTGTTTCAAGTATGTTTTTCTGTGTTGTTGTTGCAAGCTT